TGAAATGCAGATGTGCACAAAAGACAGCAGCTGCTCCTTTTGCAGATCCCACCCAATACGAAACTCCAACATGGAAGTTGCTGTGTTGTGACACAAGCAAACAGCTCTAAGAATCTGGCTGTTTGGAGAGGAATGGTTTTCCAGGGACAGGAAGTGCTTCTATGACTGGAGAATATGCAAGAAGCTCTGCAGTCACTGATCGTTCTCTTAAGGAGCCTTGCTGCCCAAACTCAACATTTGCCCCTTTGTATGTCAAATCTATTTGGTTTGTAATTATATATATATATATACAGTGGTGCCTCGCAAGACGAAATTAATCCGTTCCGCGAGAGTCTTCGTCTAGCGGTTTTTTCGTCTTGCGAAGCAAGCCCATTGACGGATTAGCGCTATTAGCGCTATTAGCGGTTTAGCGGCTATTAAAGGCTTAAAGGCTTAGGGGATTAGCTGCTAAAAGGCTATTAAAGGCTATTAAAGGCTTAGCAGATTAGATAAAGGGGGAAGCGAAAAAAACCTCAAGACTCGCAAGGTATTTTCGTCTTGCGAAGCAAGCCCATAGGGGAATTCGTCCTGCGAAGCAACTTCAAAACGGAAAACCCTTTCGTCTAGCGGTTTTTCCGTCTTGCGAGGCATTCGTCTTGCGGGGCACCACTGTATATATATATATATATATATCCCAGCATAAAATACAGCAAGAATCAGACTAGTCTATAGAATGAGAATACAGTGGTACCTCAGGTTGCATACGCTTCAGGTTACAGATTCTGCTAACCTAGAAATAGTACCTCAAGTTAAGAACTTTGCCTCAGGGTGAGAACAGAAATCGTGCTCCGGTGGTGTGGCAGCAGGAGGCCCCATTAGCTTCAGTTTCAGGTTAAGTACAGACCTCTGGAACGAATTAAGTACTTAACCTGAGGTATCACTGTACTTATGAAAGACTTGTGCTAGCCAGCTGCCACCGCCAGAGGGAGCATAGGAGATTTCCTGTGAAACCTTCCCTTTCTAAGGATGATTCCAGATGTTGGCTCAATTGTACAAAGGCTGCTGCAGAAACTTGTGACATTTCCTGCAGAAAGGATAGATTCAGATTACATGGGGAGGGAATACATTGGTACCTTGGGTTACATACACTTCAGGTTACAGACTCCGCTAACCCAGAAATAGTACCTCGGGTTAATAACTTTGATTCAGGATGAGAACAGAAATTGTGCTCCGGCGGTGCAGCGGCAGCAGGAGGCCCCATTAGCTAAAGTGCTGCTTCAGGTTAAGAACAGTTTCGGGTTAAGAACTGACCTCCGGAACGAATTAAGTACTTAACCTGAGGTACCACTGGACTGTAATGAAAAACCAAAAAATAAAAAGCAATAGTAAAAAAAGAGAAGAGAGAGAGAAAATAATCATAAGGCCCTTTCTGATATTTATATCATATTGTCAGGGAACTGCCATCAGTGCCGGAGGGAGAGAGCAAAATCCAGAGGGATTCCGGAGAGCGTCCCGGGATTGGGAGAGGCAGCCCATCTTCTGGGGAAGAGAATCAGCGTAGCACCAGTGGAGAAGGGGGGCAGATGGGGGAAGCGGCGAGGCGGTCCCATGACTCCTTGCCGGGGACCAGCGGGGAGAGTAGAGGTCCTCCGCTGCCTACGCCCTCCTTGCGCAGAAGGCTTCCTCGCAGAGAGAGTAGGAGGAGACTAGGCGTCAAAGAGCTTCTTTGCTGGAAGAAGTTTAAGAAACGCCCACTGACGGATTCTGCCAGCGATTGAGACAGCCACGGGTGAGTGGCTGTCTGGACAGAAAAGGTTCACTCAGGCAATCCAGCCAGGTGTTTGCACCGGCTTACGCACGAGCAACCCCTAGAACCATTACAGCAATCCGTCAGTCCCTGACGTTGCTTGTGCGCAGCACCGGAGAGGCAGCACGATGAGCCAAACAGAGCTGGCCAGAGGGACAGAGCAAGAAGCCATGGTGCGAGGTCTGGTCGAGAGGAACCGAGACCTTGAGGCGCATGTCGCTACCCTGTCTGCGCGGCTGGAGGAGAGACGGGCTCAGGATGCACAGGTTAGAGCCACCCCGATAGGGAGGAAGGTCCCTGGGCTGGTACACAAGTTTGGTGGAATGCCCCAAGACTACAATGCCTTCTGGACGGAAATCCAGTACGCTTTGGAATTGCAGAAAAATGACTTTGCGGATGACGGGGAGAGGGTGGCTTACATTATTGGACATCTGCAGGATGGGGTGCGCGAATGGATCAGGCCCTTGATGGCATCGGGGAATGACGCTTTGAAAGATCTTAAGAAATTCTACCTCGCGATGGACGTGATGTTCTCCAGTGAGATTGAGCAAAGCGTGACACGGAGGGAGCTGATGGGGTGCAAGCAGGGGAGCCTGACCGTCAGAAACTACTGGTAGCGTTTTGCGATGCTAGTCCACAAGCTCGGGTGGAATCTGGACTCTGAACCAGTACAAATGTTGTTTGAAGCGGGTCTGGCCCCCGGAGTGAAAGTCGTATGCTGACAGCTTCTAGGAGCCAAAGCTGAGAGCTGAGTGCAGAGTGGGGGACCAAAGGCGGAAAAACTACCTCAGAAGGGGCACGGTGTGTCCCCCACCAGAGGTACAATCGCACCTCCAACACCCGAAATACCCCTCAGAGTGACAACCAGGTATCTGTGGCAGCTAGACTGGTAACTGGGAGCGGCCGCCAAGACTGTATACCACTGGTCCTGAAAGACCTACTTTGGCTCCCAGTACATTTCCGAGCACAATTCAAAGTGTTGGTGCTGACCTTTAAATCCCTAAACAGCTCGGCCCTGTATACCTGAAGGAGTGTCTCTACCCCCATCATTCTACACTGAGGTCCAGCTCCGAGGGCCTTCTGGCGGTTCCCTCGCTGCGAGAAGCCAAGTTACAGGGAACCAGGAAGAGGGCCTCCTCAGTAGTGGCACCTGCCCTGTGGAACGCCCTCCCACCAGATGTCAAAGAGAACAACAACTACCAGACTTTTAGAAGACATCTGAAAGCAGCCCTGTTTAGGGAAGCTTTTAATGTTTGATGCATTATTGTATTTTAATATTTTGTTGGAAGCCGCCCAGAGTGGCTGGGGAAGCCCAGCCAGATGGGCGGGGTATAAATAATATATTATTATTATTATTATTATTATTATTATTATTATTATTATTAAAGTGCTACTTTTTAGTGCTGCAGCAGATGACCCTTTAGTCTTTTCTTCCTTGGGCAGTCAAATTTGTTAGGCCATTACTGCATCGACAGGCCTCGCAAGCAGGTGGGTTGGGTTAGTTGACCCTTACCTCCCATCCAAACTACCCCAAACACTTAATTTTGAATGCCCGGCTCACTTAGGGCAATACATGAATCACTGACCTCACCCTTCATCTCGAGCATTGTTTGCCTCTGGGCTTTGGCCAGACTAATTGCAAAAGACCTTCAAGCTCTAGACAGTCGAGAGAGTTTGCCAGCCTGGCTCTGTATGCTTAGGAAAGAGATATGCGCTGAACAGCTCTTTGCCTTGGGAACACGAGTTCATTAAACTTTGCAGATGAAAAAGTTCCTGCCAAAAGGTGATGAAATGAGATGACCCTCCTGGCTTGGATCATGAGCAATCTGAGCCATTGCCAGGAAATGCTTTTTGCTGCGCTAGGGCTGAGCGTGGCTGTCTTATTTGCTTCCTTTGGACAATTCTGAACAGGTGTCCAATGAATGGCTCTCTGCACATGAAGCCATGCTCTGGCAAAAACCGGGGTGCGTGTCTTGTGCTGGTGGCTCACACAAGGGCAGCACGCCAAAAGATACACATCTTTTGGGTGCCACACAAGTCGGCTCCAAGTGCCAGCTCATCCCTGGGACATTCTGGGACCAAATTAGAAGCCAGGATGACTTCTGTAATTCCGTAAATAGGCCAAGCAAATAGGGACCGTTAGAAAGTTTGGGCCATCTATCTCCTTCCTTCCAAGAATTTTCTCCACCAGCAGCTGTGGCACCAGGTGGCATCAAAGTGAGATAGCAACAGAGCTAGCATTTGTTGTTGTTGTTGTTGTTGTTTAGTCGTTTAGTCATGTCCGACTCTTCGTGACCCCATGGACCAGAGCACACCAGGCACTCCTTTCTTCCACTGCCTCCCGCAGTTTGGTCAAATTCATGCTGGTAGCTTCGAGAACACTGTCCAACCATCTCGTCCTCTGTGGTCCCCTTCTCCTTGTGCCCTCCATCTTTCCCAACATCAGGGTCTTTTCCAGGGAGTCTTCTCTTCTTACGAGGTGGCCAAAGTATTGGAGCCTCAGCTTCACGATCTGTCCTTCCAGTGAGCACTCAGGGCTGATTTCCTTCAGAATGGATAGGTTTGATCTACTTGCAGTCCACAGGACTCTCAAGAGTCTCCTCCAACACCATAAATCAGTGATCATGGAGCCCAAGAAAGTAAAATCTCTCATTGCCTCCATTTCTTCCCCTTCTATTTGCCAGAAGGTGATGGGACCAGTGGCCATGATCTTCGTTTTTTTGGTGTTGAGCTTCCCTCCAACATTTCTCCAGCGAAAATAGGGACGTCCTATTCCATAATAATAATTTTATTGTTTATATGCATGTGACTGGGTTGTCCCAGCCACTCTGGGCGGCTTCCAACTTATATAAAAATGTAATTAAACATTGTAAAACTTCCCTAGACTGAGCTGCCTTCAGATGTCTTCTAAAGGCTGCACAGTTACTTATCTCCTTGGCTCAGACACCCTCCATGGCCTCTAACATTTCTCCGATGAAAATAGGGACGTCCTAAGGTAAAGCAGGACATCCCAGGATCAAATTGGAAACCGGGACGGCTTTTTAAAATCCAGGACTATACCTGGAAAATAGGGACACTTGCTCTCCAACTTTAAAGGTACATTGTTGACTTCCTTCAGGGCAAGTTCAGTGCCTTGTTGCTAGCAATGCAGTAGGGTTTGCTACTTTTCAAGGAATTGTAGGGACCACAAAGGTCATCTCGTCTAACCCCCTTTTGGCCCAAAGTGGGGCTCAAACCCACAACCCTGAGATTAAGAATCTCATACTCTACCGGCCTTGGATAGTGAGGACCATTCTGTTGGTTTGGCTAGGACCAGTTGCTGTTTGTATGTGACCACAGCTGCACGGATGTGACTGGCCCAGAGACGGAAAGAAGATAAAGTTCCTACCAGAGAAGAATGGCAGATGAAGTTAATGGACTATGCTGAAATGGCTAAAATGACTGGAAGAGTCAGAAATCAGGAAGGCCAAAATTTTAACAAGGAATGGGAAAAATTTATAACTTCCCTTAAATAATAATAATACAGTGGTACCTCGGGTTAAGTACTTAATTCATTCCGGAGGGCCGTACTTAACCAAATTTCCACCCCAGCTACTTTCTTAGTTGAGGGGGTGCCACAGGAGAGCCAGTCCTGAGTATAACCTCTCCTCTGAAGCTGATATTTGCATTGGGAAGAAGTCTGTTGGCAGCCACCAGCAGCAGCTCAGTGAAAAGAGGCGATACCCAAAGTTGAGAAATAGGTTGACTTTGAGAAAACACCCCTTGCAGGATTTCACACAAATAGCTGTAGGTCAGAGTCATAGCCTACATGGTGTCCTCTGAGTTTTGCTGGGTTCCAGCTCCCACCATCCCTGGCCAAGGACAACACAGAGTGTGGCTGATCTGAAGAGGCAAGGTTTGGCTACTCCTGCTGAAAACCCAGACAAGCTGGAATTTGTACAGATTTCCAAAGATGCGACACATGTGGACATAAATAGAAGAGGCTGGTGTAATCTGCTGCCCGAAGTGAGCAAACAGGACTTTTTCTGTTGCTCAAAGATGGCTGAAGTTGCTGAAATCGTGCTCAAGGTCCCGAGGGCATTGGTTGCCATCCCTGGGAGCTGCACACCAAAGTTTAACACATCATGGTCAACGTGGTATGCCCTTTGCTCTTGCCAAAGCATAAGTGGGCGTTAGGATGGACTTTGAAACTTAATTCTTGGGCGTGTGATAAGATGAAAAAGTTTTGGGATCTAATATATAATGAACTGAAGAAACTTTTTAAGTATACCTTCCCTTAAAAACCGGAGGCTTTTCTATTAGGGATAATAGGGGAGGAGGTGAAAAAGGAGGATCGTAAACTATTTCAATATGCTACGGCTGCAGCTAGGATCCTCGTGGCTCAAAAGTGGAAATTACAGGAGACCCCAACAGTAATGGAGTGGCAGACTAAATTTTTTGAGTATACAAAATTAGCTAAAATGACTTATAAAATTTGAGACCAAAAAGGGACAAAGTTTGAAGAAGAGTGGGGTAAATTTGTTGCATATATAAGAATTAACTGTAGAAGTCTAAAAACTGTAGCAGGGTTAACATAAATCCTGTGATGTGTATAGAAGGCAAATAAGAATCTGCAAGAGAAGATATAAACTAAGAAAACCGAAGCAGGGAAGGAAGGAACTCCGGGCATGAACTTACGCAGTGTAAATAAGATGACATAAAATGATGACTGTAAAAGATTAAGTTTTATTTATGTTTGTGAAAAAACCAATAAAAATATTTTTTTTAAAAAAAGAAACTTAATTCTTCTCCTACATTTCTCCCACATGTGAGAAACGTACGCTGATAATGTTGTCTGTAACAGGGGTTGGCAACATTAGGCCCATGGGCCACAAGCAGCCCATGGGGGAAATTTAAGCGGCCCATTTAACCGCCCCCCCCCCCGCTGCCTGCTCAGGGACCACCTTCCACGATGCTGGCCAGCTTCCCATTGTCCGGAGGAAGGCCCTGCAGCCAATGGGAAGCTGCGCACACCTCCTCTGAGCCGGAAGGAGCACCGGAAACAGTGTTCGCGCATGCATGCGTGCGCACTCTGGCCCACCGCAGCGTCTGCAGGACCGTGAACCAGCCCTAGCCACAAAAATTTTGCCAACTCCGCTCTATAAGAATAAAAGAAAATTATTATGAATTAATTTGGAGATGGTATTCAACACCAGTCAGATTAAATCAAATAAACAAGGGATATTCGGTGTTATGTTGGAGGGGAAGCCAGGAAACAGGGAATTATGTTCACATGTGGTGGGGGTGTAAATATGTACAATTGTTTTGGCAAAGGCTGTTTGAGGAGATAACAGAAATTACTGGGTTCAGGCTGACCAAAAGTCCAGAGGTAGCATTATTATCATCAATTTACGATGGGGTGGAAGGTCCACAGGATATGAAGGAGTTGCTCACAAATTTATTGACAGCTGCACAAATTATTATAGCCAGGAAGTGGAAGAGGCAAGCAGAAGATAAAATGGTATAAAGAGGTGCAGGATATAGCTATTAACGATAATTTAACATGTGCCATTAAGATAAGACAGTGGGTATATGCAAGAGAAATAGCTTTGAGGAGATATGGAGGGTGTTTGTAGAATCTGTACCATTTAAGCGGAAAGGGGTCAAACCATCACAAGAGGTGTCAAAATTTTGAGAGTTTGGGTAGTTACAATGGAATGGTCTCGGTGGTGGGGTGCACATTTTTATTCTTATTTATTTATGATTATTACTTTTTAAAAAATAATAATAATAATTCTTTCTTTAAAAAATAAAGTTGTCTTTACATTTCTAGCCCACCCCTTTCCTCCAAGGTGTTCAGCAGGTCATACTTCAAATGTTCTTAAACTGTGCCAGTTGGTCAGAGAATGGTGCATTTTGAGTGCACCCGTGTTTGGTTTTGTAAAACGATTCCATGAAGAGTTAAGCAGTTTCCCAGAGGTACCGAGTAGCCTGTCACCCCATGAGCAGCAGAGGAGGAGGAGGCAAGCCCTGACTTGCTCTGTTGTGAAGTGACACACCAACAGGGAGCGTCAGCAAACAAAAGCTGCGTGAAACTTGGTCCCTTTGCACCAAAGGCATACACACACAGCCACAGACACTTACAAAGGATTATATGCAACACAGACAACTTAATCCTAATAATATTGGGCCATACAAACTGTGCAGGGTGCACTTTATACACAGCTAAAAAAAGGTAAAGGACCCCTGACAGTTAAGTCCAGTCGCGAACGTCTCTGGGGTTGTGGCACTCATCTCGCTTTACTGGTCGAGGGAGCCAACGTTTGTCCGCAGACAGTTTTTCCGGGTCATGTGGCCAGCATGACTAAGCCGCTTCTGGTGAAACCAGAGCAGCATACGGAAACGCCATGTACCTTCCCGCCGGAGCAATATCTATTTATCTACTTGCACTTTGACATGCTTTCGAACTGCTAGGTGGGCAGGAGCTGGGACCGAGCAATGGGAGCTTACCCCGTTGCGGGGATTTGAACCACCGACCTTCTGATCGGCAAGCCCAAGAGGCTCAGTGATTTAGACCACAGCACCACCCGTGTCCCGTCTTTCACTAATATACATATTCATTTAAAAAAGGTAAAGGACCCCATAACAGTTAAGTTCAAAGGCGACTATGGGGTTGCGGCGCTCATCTCACTTTCAGGCCAAGGGAGCTGGCGTTTGACTGCAGACAGCTTTCCGGGTCATGTGCCCAGTGTGACTGAACCGCTTCTGGTGCAATGGGACACAGTGACGGAAACCAGAGCGCATGGAAACGCTGTTTACCTCCCCGCCGCAGCGGTACCTATTTATCTACTTGCACTTTGACGTGCTTTCGAACTGCTAGGTTGGCAGGAGCTGGGACAGAGCAACAGGAGCTCACCCCGTCACGGGGATTCAAACTGCTGACCTTCCGATCGGCAAGCCCAAGAGGCTCAGTGGTTTAGATCACTGAAAGTGAGAAGAGCACTGCAACCCCATAGTCACCTTTAACTGGACTTAACCATCCAGGGCTCCTTTACCTTTACCTTTTTCTCTGTATCTCCCCTTAGATCATGGGTAGGCAAATTAAGGCCTGGGGGCCAGATCCAGCCCAATTGCCTTCTAAATCCGGCCTGCGGACAGTCCAGGAATCAGCATGTTTTTACATGAGTAGAATGTGTCCTTTTATTTAAACTGCATCTTTGGGTTATTTGTGGGGCATAGAAATTCATTCATTCCCCCCCCCTCAAAAAAAATATAGTCAGGCCCCCCCACAAGGTCTGAGGGACAGTGGACAGGCCCCCTGCTAAAAAAGTTTACTGACCCCTGCCTTAGATACTCTCCCATCCCCACCCCAGTCCATGCACTAGCACCATATCCAGCAGTAAGGTAAAGGTAAAGGGACCCCTGACCATTAGGTCCAGTCGCGGATGACTCTGGGTTTGCGGCACTCATCTCGCTTTATTGGCCAAGGGAGCCGGCGTACAGCTTCCGGGGCATGTGGCCAGCATGGCTAAGCCGCTTCTGGCGAACCAGAGCAGCCCACGGAAACACCGTTTACCTTCCCGCCGTTTACCCATTTATCTACTTGCACTTTGACGTGCTTTCGGACTGCTAGGTTGGCAGGAGCAGGGACCGAGCAACGGGAGCTCACCCCATCGTGGGGATTCAAACTGCCCACCTTCTGATCGGCAAGCCCTAGGCTCTGTGGTTTAACCCACAGTGCCACCCGCATCCCACATATCCAGCAGTAGGGACCAGCTTTTCCTCCTTTTGACAAACGCCCACACAGCCACACGCCTTTTCGGATTATACAGTAATCTTATACTTATCCAATAGCAATTATTAGGGATGCATTGCAATGATCAGTGCAGATCTCCAGTTGTTGCGATTCAGGTAGATCTTCTGTTCTCTGCGCACGTACATGGTCAAATGATTCAGAGTGCTCTAGCATCTTCTCTCGGAGTAGGGAAAGTTGTGTTTTCCTTCAAGTTCCGCTGCAAGTACGAAACTAGAAACTGAAGCAGCCCATGTTTTCAGTGTTCCTAAATGCTTAGTTTCGGAGGACATAAGACAACTCCTGCTCGGTTTTCTTCCTACAACCTTTCTCCCCAGAATGACCCTAGGAGCCCATTCTCAATAGCTGACTCTTCTCTTTTCACTCTTCCTGGCTCCAATCAGCACAAAGGTGACATTTTTCCATCTTCGCTGTATCAAGCAGTTGGTCCCTTACCTAGAATCATAGAATCATAGAGTTGGAAGAGACCACAAGGGCCATCGAGTCCAACCCCCTGCCAAGCA